TCGATTAATCTTCAATCTTCGCTTCTACTCGATTGTTTGCCGCTGCCTCGATGACGGCGATGGCATATGACCATACGCAATGGTCAACATGTGTCCATTGCATTGAATTTTGAAATACCTCTCTGACTTTATATTTTACAAACCTCCACGACTATACATTTTTGAGGGATATTAAATTATGGTGGGTCTCCTAATGCGGGGGAAATATGTACTCCGGAGTAGTAGATTTATCGCATGGACATCTGAAACCTGTGAAGAAGTTGAAAAGGACACATAGTGCTTGTTTCGAACAGGCGTTTCACGTTTAGTAGACGTTTGAAACATTGCGATTTGCCCACACATCAGTGTCATGCTTGACAAACATTCTCTATATCAAGCAAAATGTATGCTGACAGAATACAAGAGACAAAAGTGCGATACGCCCAACAACGGAATCTCTTGGGCAAGCAACACGCGCGCGGTGGCGATGTCGATCTCGCAGTTCTACATCCTAAGCAGCCGAGGGGACTCAATCCTCTTCAGCGACTATCGAGGCGACGTTCCGAGCGACAGCTCGGAAGTGTTCTTCCGTAAGGTCAAGTTCTGGGACAAGGGGGGCACGGCGCCGCCATCGTTCCACGTCGACGGGGTCAACTACCTCTTCGTGAAGAAGAACGCGCTGTACTTTGTCGCGACGACTCGGTACAACGTGTCACCGAGTTATATCTTGGAGCTCCTGACCCGTCTCTGCCGGGTCTTCAAGGACTACTGCGGAGTTTTGTCCGAGGACACCCTGCGCAAGAACTTCATCCTCTGCCTTGAACTGTTGGACGAAACCTTGGATTACGGTTATGCACAGGACACGAGCACAGAAGGGTTGAAAGCACACGTACACAATGAAGCGATTCTCGTCGGCGAAGCTGCCTTGGCCAAGACCGCGAGCAGCAGCATGTTCCATCGCCAGACGAACATGAAGGCTGCCGTGTCCGCGAACAAGCCTATCGCAAATGCCAACGCCGGGACCTCGAGTAAGGACAAGCACATAAACGAGCTATTTTGCGACATCCTCGAGCGATTGAACGTCATGTTCTCCCCGGGTGGACAAATGCTCAACTCTTCGGTGGAAGGGCGGATCCAGATGAAGTCGTACTTGGCAGGGAACCCAGAGCTCCGCCTGGCGCTCAACGAAGATTTGATCATTGGTGGCCACGGTGCCAGCAACCTGTCGAACTACGGCCAAGTCATGCTGGACGACGCAAACTTCCACGAGTGCGTGCAGCTGGACGAGTTCGAGCGCGACCGTGTGCTGGTATTCACGCCGCCGGATGGCGAGTTCACGGTGATCAATTACCGACTCACCGGCCGTGATTTTCGCGCGCCATTTCGCATCTTTCCCTATGTCGACGAAGTGTCGCCGACAAAGATCGAAGTGACGCTCAAGATCCGCGCCGACATGCCCGACAACAACTACGGCGCCAACGTGATTGTGCGATTCCCTGTGCCCCAAAGCACGATCGCGGTTGCTTGTGACATTGGCAAGAACACTGCAGGGCAACTGGCTGAGTTCCGACAGAGCGAGAACCAAGTACGATGGGCCATCAAGCGTTTTCCTGGCGGCGCTGACATGACCCTTCGCGCCAAGGTTACGCTGAGCGCTCCGAGCTCCCACGTGCGCCGCGAGATTGGCCCGGTCAGCCTCAACTTTGAGATTCCCATGTACAACGTGTCGACGTTGCAAGTGCGATACCTCCGCATTCCCGAACATGCGCGGCACCCCAACTATTCCTACAAGCGGTGGGTGCGGTACGTGACCCAGTCCAACTCGTACGTGTGCCGCATCTAGACGACCAAAGGGTCGATTTGTACAGCGTGAACAAAGGCTTTGCCATGGACACAGGATCACTCAAAAGCTTAGAAACCCATTTCTCGGTGTGTCTGGTCGCATTAGGTTTGATGCGCTGGACTGAAATGACCTGTCTCGTGCCTTCGAAGGCGTTGGACGTTCGAGGCACCTCAAAGGGCAATGGGAGGCAGACTCTTGCCGATCGCGGCTGTCCTCGGCGCTGCGCCGCGAGATGACCTTGGACATGTAAACTTAGCATGATCGAAAAAATTTCCGTTCGGACTTTACCGTAAACTGTACGTACAGCAAGTACTTCACGCTAAAACTGTCCGACAATAATGTGCGTGACATGTAAGATTTCCAGCATGAGTGCCGCCACCGACCCCAACAGCATGTTGACGACGAATGCTGTGGCGACTCTGTACATGAACCCGGCGGCCCGAACATTCCACCCGCTCCTCCAAATCATCCACGCAAAGGAGATCCAAGACAAGACTTCACACCACTGCGTTGTTGTCCTCTCCGATGGCGAACATTGTATATCTGGTCTCGTACCGCTAGGTGCAGTGATCGTACGTCCTCCATCCCCTTCGCATCGACTCACGTCTCGCGCAATCGTGTAGGCCACAAATTGCGCTCGCGACATGCATACATGCTGTGTCGTCCAACTCGACGCATTCAATCCAAAAATCGTTGCCGGCAATCTGTAATGCAATCCACTTGGGTTTGTGGGCCCATCTCACGCTCGACTTGTAGCATTCTCATCGTAGATGGGCTTACACACGTGGCATGCGCGGCTGGTCGTATCGGTTTGCCACACCCAACGTTCGTCAACATCGCCCCGCCGTCCATGTCGGCGTTGCTGCAGGCACAATTGGACCTCCTCGTGTTCAAGGAGACCCAACACACAGCATTTCTCGAGTCGGTCCGAAGGAACGCGCGGGCCGCCACCACTTTGATCACACTCAACATCGGTGGGCAGCGCTTTCAAACTGCCGCCGCCAATCTCCTGCGCCACACACCATCGTACTTTACCATGTTGCTCGCCGATTCGTCGGGACCGCCACCACCAGGTACGACGCCACCTTCCAGCAGCCGTTCGATTGTTCACGTGGCCATCTTGAAAATGTCTTTATTATGACGGCACCATGCGCGCATGCCCAATTACTACATTTCATCGCATGAAGGATGGCATGTCTTGTTTGAGAAATCGAGAAAACGAATCTAACGGCATCGCATCGTGGTAGACCATGAGTACTTTATCGACGTGGACCCGATCCATTTCGACCGGGTCATGGTCCATCTTCGCACCGGCGACCCCCTCTCGTACGACGGCCTGTCGTTGTGGGAAACGCTCCAGCTACGCAAGACCGTGCGATTCTTGGGTCTCGAGCCCCACTGCACATCCATGGACGTCTTCATGGAGCACATGGCATCGCTCAAGGCAACCGATTCACCGCCGCTGCCACCGTCGTCAGCAGCGTGAACTTTGCTGGAACGTGTCCTTGGGCGTGACGTTGTCGTAGGCTGGAGAAGACCTTGTGTTGTTTGCGATGCAATAAAATGCACATTGTTCGATGGTACACGCTGTCCTCGAAACCAGGACCTTCTTGTCTGTGGAGCTGTGCCGCTCGCCGTCGTGCGCGACCACCACCGTCGAACACCATGACGTGAGCAATGAGTCTCGAGACTTGCTATGTACGTAGGGCAATCCTTTGTCCACGAGCGTAGATAGAGATATTTACCACCTCTGGCTATGAGGAGCAGTACTTGCGTGATGGCACGCACGGGAGCACATGGAGGTTGGGCGATGGATTTGTTTGTCTAGTATATTGGTTTGAGGGTGCCATCTACTTCGACGTGGTGCAGAGCCCGCCTTGGACTGGAGTTGCTGTAGCCAAGAGTATTGCTTGCTTCGTCAAGGCTCGCGAGTGGAGTTCGCGGACCACCGGAATGACGAGATGATTTATGAAGTGTTTACACGTGCCAGGATGGATGTGCCGAACGAGTTTCGTGGACAGTACTTGCGACGCACTCAGGGAATTGTCGCCAGGGCCATCAACATATTGGAAAAATGCACGTCCTTTACTGCACATGGCAACATCGTGACGTCATAACTTAGGCTTGACCAACGTCCGGACCGGGCACGAACGTCAACGTCGCGTGAAAGAAGGTCATGCACACAGCGGGGAACAGTGCGGCATCGGAGGACTCGTCCAGCGCAAACGCCGCGCCGAGTTCTTGGTCGTTCTTTTCAAAATGAATTCGACCACCACATCGTCGCACGGTGACGATATCGCCAGCGTCGAAGCCGCTCGCATATGGTTTTCCCCACGTTCCGTCCTGGCCGTGCAACGTGCCGTGGCGAAGCTCGATGTAGTACCCGCATCCTGTTGGGTTGTACGAGTACGTGCCAAATCCCTTGGATGGTGCGAGTCCGACAAACACCTTCCCGAGCACATTCCCTGTTGAAGGAAACACATCCAAGCGTATTGAAAACACGTCCACAGACTCCATGCCCAGAACAGAGTTTGACATGCATCGTGCAGGGCCGGTGGATCTTCGAACGGTTTGGTTATTGTTGAGAAGCACGAGCGACAGTGAGCACGCATGGGGGTTCCACTGAGGGACGTCTTGTTTCTTGGACGGCGACGATGCAGCCAAGTCTCGCGGTGTGAGTATATTTAGGTAGTCCAACGTTGCCCGAAGTTGGCGGCACTCCCACACTGACAAACCGTCAAACGACAGCACATCAGTGCGAAGGTATGTCATGACGCGATCGAAGTGCGTCGGGTCCAGGTCGAGAAAGTACGTGTTGCCAGGGCCGTTTGGCTGCCAACACCCCGCTCCAAGCATGGCATGGAAATAGGTACCTTCAACTCGCAGCAACGTCTGTTTGGAAGTCTTGAAAAGAACGCCACCAACGTCCAACGTGATGGTGTGTGCAGCAGCTACCGTGTTTCCTTGGATGCGGCGTTGCAACTCGTCCCACGCTTGCTCCTTTCGCTCGAGCGCTTCCAGCTGCTTTTGAATCGCTTGCGACATCTGCATGACTTCGGCAGAGAAGAGTTTGAGCATGTCGAGGGACCCAGAGAACGACGGCACCTGCGTTTCATGGCGCAGTTTCAATGCCATCGCGGTGCAGATCGGAAAATGCCGCCGCATCCTTTGGCCGAAGGTTCAAACCTGTCATAATTCATGTTGAACTCATGGGTCCACTTATGTATTTTCATAGGATACCTTGATATTTGAAAATATACAAAAATCAATAATTGCAATCAACCATGACGACCTTCGACCGTCGTTGAGAGTATCATTTAACTCAATACTCTGTGGCATATTATATGTCGTGCATGTGCTGCATGAACTGCAGCATTTCAAGTACAAGTGGGAGTGGTCACATCGACTGTGCCACAACATCAAAGAGAAGAAGTCGGCATTCGGTCGTGCAGACGCCAACTTTTCCCCGCAACAAAACGCATGATCTTGAATAACGTATTGCAGGCAAACATCGGTCATATTAACTATGATGAACACTGGGAATGGACGGTATTTTGAACCGTACAAGTATTTCGTCCGGTTGAAGCTGTTTCATGAGATTTGATTGGGCAATTCATCCAACCAATCCCAGACGTGAACCAAAACCAAACATGAAAACACCAGACCAGGCGGCCGCCCTCATCCAGGCACGATGGAAGGGCCGCCAGTACCGTGCCCAACGCCGCCGCTACGTTGTACGTGACATCACGATGTGAAAGGAAGCCTTTGATCATTCATAGAAGTATTCACGGCGCGAAATGGTCGATAGGAATTGATCACAAAGCTACAAGCACGACAACGCGGTCGGGCCGTTCGGCGCGAGTTCATTCCCTTTCGTGCATTTCGACGAGAACAGGTAGTCGCCATTGATTCTCATCATGGTCATGATGGTGGAGGCTTCGTCTCTCTCCTGTAGTATGCATTCGAAGTTGAGAGCAAGGCGAGGCGCGCACGCATCTGGCAGCACCAACAGCAGCTTCTATACATGGAGTCCATGTCACCAGTGCAATACGATCGTCTCATGGCCCTCCAACGGCAGCGGGCAGCTCGTCTCATCCAGCGGCGGTGGAAAGAGTACACCCTCTCCGCACAATATCCGCGCAGTATGAGTGTGCACCACATACATGCTTGGGACACAGACGATGGCACCGCCGATTTTGACGACAATGCCTTATACAACTCGATGGATTGCACACCATCTCTACCATCAAAAGCAATCGATCCCGTGGTGTTCCTGTCGAAGAAGCAAGCGATCCATCAGCGTGTACAAGATGCCGTCCGTACCTTCTCCGCGAAACATCCATGGAAAATACCTATCCAGGGAGATACCAAGACTGCGTCCGACACTGCCAGACGCGCCACGTACGAAAAGCTCCAAAGAGAAACTGCAAACTGGGCAAGCCGGCTCCAAGAGCATTGCACGGCGCTCCGTCAACCAAAACTAGCCACCGGTTCGTACGCCCAATTTGAGAATCGCTGACGTGGCAGCTCTAGACGCAAGCGTTGCCGCCGCGTTGGCGCGATGTGAAGTCAGACTCCAAAAGCTGTTGGCCCCATCGCAGTTACCATCCATATCAAACGTGAGTACATGCTTTGTAATGGAAGGTAAAGCTGATGGAGGTCGTGGGCGAGAAGTCTGGTGAAGATGGCGGAGGCACGATGCCGTTTCTTCCAAAGGACCGTCCGAGACGAGACGCCGCCGTGGCCGCGCACAAGGCAGTTGTACACTCGATCGAAGAAGCGTCGAAAGCATCCTACTACATGCCAGTGGGAGGTCGAATGCACGATATGCGGCAAATTCGGTGAGAGGCGTCTCGATCGATTTTAATCAAAGTCCCACACGCCTGGTAGACCCCCGCCGCCGTGGGAAATTCAAGGTCACGACAAAATATGGACGTGGCCTCACTCGTTTCGAGTCACCGTAAACACCGTCGACGACGAGGCTCCCATCAAGGGCGACGACTCGGACAACCCCATCGATCAATTTCTGACCCGCTCCGCAGCTTCCCGAGCCACGGAAGACCCACTGCACCAGGGCAAACGCAACTCCCGTGACATGCAAATCGAAATGGACCACCTGTGGCTGCATTACGCGGAAGCCACGTCGTTGCCGCCGTCGGCGATGCTTGCAAACGTGACCAGCGTCATGACGACGCACCCGAGTCTACTGGCATGCCAACGGGCAAGCGGGAAAACGGGTGGGCAGGACGATGTGTTTGGACTGTCCTTTGACGCAATCGTACGGTCGAAAACGAAGCACCTCGTCGCGGACATCACCAACCAAATCACGTTCAACACGCAGCTTCGGCTCGTCGAAGACCATACGAAGAACGCAGTGGCCAAGGCACGCACACCGATGGCCACCAAGGAAGACGACGACATGGAGCTGATCGGGGGCGTCGACTATGGCCGATTGAGGCGACACCACATGGCAACGAGGATTCAAAGGCGTGTGCGTGGAAACAAAGGTCGCGCGGAGGCCCAGGAAGTACGTCGATGAACATGGGGCAATCGGTACTTGCAATGTTGGGGCACTAATATGTTCGATGCAGATTCGAGCCAAGTACTTTGTTCAAGTCAAGGGCCGCGCCGTTCGCAAAGGACTGTGCGAAGAGTGCGGCGACGTGCGAGCAGTCCTCCAGTGCGACGAGTGCCAAGAAACATCTCATTTTTGCCCACAATGCTGGGTTCAAGTCCACAGCACGCGGCGACGCAAAACGCACGTGCCGAAACCCATGGCGATCGAATCGACCGCACCGAAACCGTCGACTCGATGTGTTCAAGAACCTGTTGGACCTGTGGCGATTGCAAGACAAACTGCTGCGCCGTCCCGCCACGTGCAGCCCAATCCAGAGATTGAGGATATCTTGAGCGCCGCGCTGGCACTGCCAGGAACGCAGGAGCCGTTGAACATGCAGCCAAATTCAGTGCAACCACTAATCTCCGATGCGACTGTACCCTCCCAAAGTCGACAGCGCATGGGAGCGCAAGTGACACCATTCGAGCTGCAGCCAGAGGGCACCCGTTCAACATCTCGCCATCCCTCGACGGTTGTTGTCGCGGCGGACGTCATGCTGCTTGATCTTGTGCACCAAGCTGCCAACGAAGCGGCCCCGCCAGTGGATGATTCATAAAGAACAACTTGCTCAAACGACGGCAGTATAGCTTCTACAGGATGCGCTACGTTCTACGGCATCGAGTACGGTGGTCGAGGCCCGCTGTCCACGTCGTGCTTGGAGACCTTGGCTGCCTACAATGCCGCATGTGCGGTGAACCAACCGATCGGTATCCCCACGAGCGCATTCTTACGCAAGCAATCGACAGCTTGTCGGGGCTGATAGCAGGGTTGTCGGTGTCTCGCGAAGCACGAGGCGTCTAGGTTTCATGGCGTTGGCCAGCTCACGTTACCACTACTCACATTACATTGAATTTGGCAAAGTCGGACTTGAACGCTTTCAAGTATTCTTCAAATGATTCGGACTTCATCGGTTTTGCAGGCTCGGGATGCGACGTCAGGGTCAGCGACGGCATCGGGAGCGCTTCTCGGGATGCAATAGCATTGAGAGAGTCTCGAATCTCCTGCATCTTGCGGTCAAATTCGGCAAACATGCTGCGCCCGGCCGACGGCGGGGGTGTCACTTTGGTAGGAAGGGACGACCCTGGGCCATCTACAATCCGTTGTCAAGGTGTTTGCGCTGCCATCGCCACGAGGGACCTACTCGAGTCAACGGATTCGATGGACACGACGCGGCCTCGTTGGCAGCCACTCATTTCTTCAAATCCAAACGACATGGATGGTATCTCGTCGTCCCGTTGTTTCCTATAAGTCGCGTCTGGGACCGTCCGAGAAGTCATGCCAAACGAAGGCGAGCGAGTGTGTTGGTCAAACGAGAATTCGTTCGAGTTGTCGTGGATGGCCACATCCTGATAGCTTGTGCCCGAGCGGGTCGGCGACTGTAGGTCACAAGGAGGGTGTAAGCATCGAACACGCCGGCAGAATGGACACCGCGCACACCTGCGTATACGCTACATCCATGGCGTTGCCGTCGGCGTTGTGTCGACGATGGTTTGAGTCTTCGATGAAGGGAGCGGGCTCGGAACGGCGAAGCGAAGCTGTGTCGTTGCGACTGAATCTTCTTGTGGCTTTCGGACTGTGGCTGCCAGAAATATCCTCGAACACTTGCCTGGCAGGGATGTCGGTGTGGCTGAGTTGGTGCAGCCGGTCCCGTGCCGCCGTCAGCGCGCGCACCATGTGCTCCATGCTTTCAATTGCGCGATCGGCTACTTGGACGTCGAATCGCAGCGGCGTCTACCTCAACACGAGTCAATATTCACCACTTGGAGCCATGAGATGGCACCGTCGAGAAGTCGAATAAGACTGCATGTTGGGCTTTGGTGTCGTCGATGGCGGCAAACGCTTCGTCGACGAGCCGTCGAAGATCTATGGGGAGCGAATGACAGGGTCGCTCAAAGCAGAAAGATGAAACCTTGAGTATTGCCAGTGGTGTTGCTGTCACTTCGAGCAGACGGCGGTGCGGCGGATGGAGGAACTTCGATTGCCATGTGCGAGCGAGAGCCGGCGTTACCCGTGGCATTCTTCACGACCGGCATGTATGATGTGACCGGCGACTTGTCCAGCTTGTACGCAGTAGAGAGCTCTGTGGGCGATCTGTATGTCGATCGAGGCTCCTCCATGAAGGATGGCGCGCCCTTGTAAGCTTTGCTGGCAGCATCAAGTTCGTCCGAACACGACGATGGACGAGGGCTGGTGCGATGGGCCATCTTGTACTCAGGGCGCACTTCATGCTGCCCTAGCTTCTCAGGAGATATTGTGTGCTTCACCCCATGACGCGTTGGCGCAAACAAGGCTGCGTCCGAGGTAATAGCCTTGATTGTCGACAGTGGTGGTGGCTCTGAATGCCGAGGCACCTTAACTTCGTGGGACTCCATTTGAATTCCCCGCGGCGCCAAACGCGCGCGACCTGTCGGAGCGTACTTTGAGGCAAGAGCAGTGGAATATCCTGTCGATGATGTGTAGGTTTCGTCTCGTGGTGGTGACATTAGTGGTGCAGAGGATGGCTCGAACGGGCGGTAGTGGTCCCGCGCATCTCGGGCGTACGATGGAGGTGGAATTCCTGCCTTTGGTATCGACGACGCATATCGCTCGTCTGAGTTGTCCCCCTTAGTCCACTCCATCGAGCGCGGCATCGGTCGGCGCGAGTCCATGCCAGATGCAAATGTCGAAAAACAACGTGCCCTTTCGAACGTTTTGGTTGGGAAAAGATCGGAGACTTTGGATTGGATAAAAACACACGAATCACACATTCGTTTCGATTGCTACTAAATTTGATTGGATTATCTATAGCGAATGGAGTCGCTCTATATGGAGTAGATGACTTTCGATTGGGACAAAATGCATTATTTTAACGAATCCAATGCAAGGAATAACCAAAACGATTGGTGTCAGTGGGGATTGGTTGGCGGATTCTCCATTTTCCGCCAGCATGCGCCAGTTCAAGTACCATGAGAAGAAGTTGCTGAAGAAGGTCGATTTGCTCGACTGGCGCAACGAAAACAACTTGCATGAGATCAAGGTTATTCGTCGCTACCGCCTGCCGGACCGCGAGCAGTACCACAAGTACAACAAGCTCGTCGGTGACATCGGGCGCGTCGTGGCCAGGTTGAAGAAGCGCCCGGCCAACGACCCGTTCCGCATTAAGACGACGGAGAAGCTGCTTGAAAAGCTGTACCACATGGGCATCATCAACAGCACGAAGAGCTTGCTGAAAGCCGAGGAACTGAACGTGAGCTCATTCTGCCGCCGCCGCTTGCCAGTGGTCATGGTGCGCCTCAAGATGAGCGAAAACATCAAAGAAGCCACGACGTTCATTGAACAAGGCCACGTCCGCGTCGGCCCCAACACCGTGACAGATCCCGGGTTTATGGTGACCCGGCCATTCGAGGACTTTGTCACGTGGGTAGACAGCTCCAAGATCAAGCGGACGATCCTCAAGTACAACGACAAGCTGGACGACTACGACTTGCTTGGCAACTAGCCTATTTTACCGAATCAATTCCAAATCCTCGACACGTAGTTGCGCCTTGTTGTGGGTCGTCAAAGATGCGTGCAACTCCTCGTCCACATATTCGACCTTCAACCACTTCCAACCAGCTACGTCCTCGCTAACTCGCTCTTCCATGGATTTGGGAGTCGGTTTAGGATGAACTTTGACCACGGGACGATGGTGCACGCGTCTTTGTGTCCTTCGTACGTCTGGCATGGACGCGCTCTTAGCTGTCGAGAAGGGGCAGAGTCAAGCTCGACGCGCGCGTCGCCGTGGCTGTGAGTTCCATGGACCTTGTCGGATCGACCTCCGTGAAGTGCTTGGCGTCATGGCCGGAGAGGCGGACTTGGACACAGGATCCACGAGGTACTTGATGTGCAATCGGAAGCAAACCAAACGTGACTTTGGTCGGAGTGTCGATGGGGCGGCGGTCCTTGGCGTAAAATGAATGGCGGGGAACGTTCTCGTCTGGGTAATGCGGCAGGTTCTCGTCATCTCCAGTGATCTGTCCATGCGCCGCGCGCAAGTGGCCTTCCGTCACGTACACCACCTCGGACGTGGAGGTCAGTATCGTGAGGTAGACGAAAATGTCACCCGACTCGGGCGCCGTCGATGCCAGCCACAGCGTCACGACGGGCGTGCCGACGATCTACACTCACGTCGTCAAGGTCACTCAAGCCAGGGAATTACATAGCTCAGACGCCATACCGTCATAACGTCGTCCAATGGCGCCGACGTAAAAATGACGTGGTTGGCGGCTTCCCATCCTTTGTAGTGCATGTGATTGAAGACTTCGATCGTGGCTTGCCACCGAGAGACTCCGCCGAGGTCGCGCTGAGCGTTGACGGCCCACGTGAACGCTCCATCTTGAACTTGATCGATGTCATCGACGAGCTTGCGATCTCGCATGGACAGAAAGAATGAGCGCCGCGACATGTTTGGCGGCGGCCACGACTCGGCCATGCGCCACTTGTTGTCGCCCAGTGTGAAATATTCCACAGTGCCAAGGGACGGCTCCATCGAGTTGGCGCTAGTGGCTGGTGGACCCACCTCGTCCAAGTGTTGTCGGAAAAAGGCGATGACGCGGTCAACGTGGGCGCATTGCGTCTTCTGCGGGGCTTGGGTATACGGGTCGTAAAACTGCACGCCACTGTGGTTCCATGGCCCGATGATCACCTGTATGCGGGCAAATCAGCAGCATGCCAACGGCATTCGATGTTGCAACGACTACCTTGCTACGCTCTGGGTGCAGCGTAAACCCCTGCAGCGAGCTGCGTACGGTTTGATCGAACCAGCCCGTGTAGAACAGTATTGGGACCTACGCAGATTCCAGAGCACCATGTCACGTAAACGCTTTGGACGTGGAGTCGACGAACACCGGCAGTTTTGACGGCATGACGAACATGGCACAGAGACAACGCCCCTGCCGTCACATCGCCCGACGTGGGAGTGTCTCGGTCCAAGATGGGGTTGATCTAAGACAGGCAGGACAGGTCATTGCGGGCGTTCGAGAGTGGAGAGAGGAAGCCCTTTTCTCCCCATAACGCCAACGGGTGGAACCAAAGCGCCATGGCAAGTTGCCACTGCATTACCTCAGCCTTCCAGTTGGGTTTGTGGTCGGCAACCGCACTTGTCTAGCAGCGACACTCCTTCGTTGGACACGAGCGAGTTGGAGTGAATGTTCGCCGACATACCAAGTCGTGCCAGTCTCGGGAAGCGGGAGCAACTCCTTGAAAAAACAAGCCACCCACGCCATTCATCGACGGCAGGGCTCCAAAATCGTTGCGGTCAAGGAACTCGATCAGTTCGGCCCACTTTTGCGTGAAAAAGTGTTGGGCGATGCCTCCTGCAATTCCAGCAACGCGACAATGAAACGAACGGGCGCTGCTGCCGCCACCAAACACCCTTACCTGGCGACGCGATATCGTTGTACATGTCGTAGAACATGTACATGGGCACGCAAGCCCGGATGGCGGGATGGTGCTTCGATACAGTCAAGTACGCCGCCGTCGCTTCGTAGCTCATACCCCACAGCCCGACGCGGCCATTGCTCCATGGCTGCCTTGTGATCCAGTCGATGACGTCGACGCTGTCCTGGCGTTCGCTCGGGTGCCTGCGGAATTTTGGTGAGGTTGCCATCTCAATTTATGTGGACTGAAAGACCAGGGATGGAGGTGGGTCCCAAACGACGCGCCAGTTCCACGCAGGTCCAACGCCACGACGGCGTAGCCAGCTTGGAGCATGCTTTCATAGTAACGAGTGTGCAGAAAGCTCATGGGACGACCTTTGTTAATGAAGAGGCGCCATGGCCACCGAAGGGAGATCGATCGAAAGTAGCGAGTTTGCGTAAGGATGCAAGCAACAGGCGCTGCATGCTCCGTCGAGGGAGAAGTCAAGTTGCTTGTACCGGCGGGGAGATACAAGTCGATGGCGATGCGAGTGTCGTCGCGAGCGGTGATGTACTGTGACGGCATGGTGTAGGTGGGGGGAGACGTTGACGAGTTTGCGGGTTCGGATATGCCATAGACGAACCGATCGCTGGCTCGACGTGATTCAAAGAGCCCTTTGAACTTCTTGTACGGGATGTACAAGAGGAGTCCACACATCCACAGCTAACGCGACAACGATCCTGCACATGAAGGTCGGGATCAACATGTGCAACGCACCGGGGACATCACGATGGTCAAGACGCCCAATCCCATCCCCGTGGCAGTTTTCCCTATATCAGCACACATCCGTCAAGCCCTCGAAGATCATGTCCGCCAGGAGTACACAGCAGCGAGTTCCGCGGGTACACATCGTGGAGATCCTGTGCTGCTGGCATCCTGCAATGTATCGGGTTGTCATACAACTGAAAACTTAAATGCCATCGATAAAATACATCGCAAATATTCTTTTCATATTGCAGGATCGTCAAACCTGCCAAATTTAATTCCATTAAAAAATCCGTTCGAGTAAATTGGGCGAGGCTACGAAGCATGGATGTAGCACGCGAGAGCGCACAGTGGAGTTTCACCCACACGTCGCGTCTGTGGCTTTCAATCATGCATTGTCTATGCTTGACGTAGCCTCGGAAGGCTTTTGCCGTAGTTGATCGGCACACTGAAAATTCAGCCAATCGTTGAATTTTTTAGATTTAAGTGGTTCAAGAGTACTGCATTTCTGTGTGCGTGAGGGCATCCGGATAACCTAACCAGATCCACATGCACCAATCAGATTGCACCATCACCCAATGCAGTGGCCAATCACAACGCTTTCTGTGGGACTGAGACACGCCGTCGACGGCACTTGCAAATTTGCAACAAATAGCACAGGACGATGGTGGAGCATGTCGTGCTGTTCAAGTGGAAAGACGACGCAAGCGCGGAGGCGATCGAAGAAGTGGGCCGATCCATCATTGCCCTTAAGGACAAGGTCCCTGGCATCATCGATCTTGCCTATGGCGAAGACTTTACCAAGACGCGGTCCCAAGGATTCACTCACACCCTCGTTGTCCGCATGGCGAACAAGGAGACAGTCGCGTTCTACGATTCGCACCCCGAACATGTCAAAGTCGTGACGCAGATCCGACTTATCCTGGACAAAATCCTCGCCATGGACATTGAAACACCACGCCATCTCCCCAATTAAGTGACTACACGATCACACACTTTCCGTGGACTTTGTCTCCTTCAACGCCACGCTCTGAACATTGAGGTTCCATGGACGCTTTCTAGCGCGAAGCAGTTGGGCAAAAGGCATCATCACCTTGACGCAACAAAGGAATCTGTGGGTGGTGTGTGTCTCACACCATGGCAAACGTGATTGTGGAAAGCATTATTTATTGCATTTGATTTGAACGTTGTCATGCTTCAGCGCGTCCCAAGACTTGGTGATGTCCGATACTCGGGGCGTACCAACAGTCCGATCCAACTGCAACGAGCGCTTCAGTGAGGTCGCGCAACGACGCTTCATATATCTGTCCTTGGCATTTGCCGTCGATGGAAACGAAGGCTCTGGCTACGGCGCACACGTCGTGGACCCTGCGACGCGCAGATATCATCGATTCAGTCCCTCTGGCCTCTCTGGATGTGATGTGGCGTATTGGCACGATGTGTCGCGACTACTACGCTCGGGCTCCCGTGCGAGCTTCCTCCTCATTCCATTCGTTTCACGTAGGGTTGATCATCTCGGGCAAGGTTTTCCGTCGCCTGGCGTGCACCCTCTGGTTTTGGCCCGTTCGATGCGTCGGTTTAGCGCCAAATTTCGGTGGCTTGAACTTCTTGTTTTGTCAAAGTGTGTTTGCGACGTTTGGATTGGTGGAAATCGGACGGGAAATCTTTATCAGAGTGCCATGTCGACGAGAGCGCGGGGGAAGCTGACCTTGGAGCGCATCCTGGGCCTGTCAACATGCAGCAATGCAGGTCTGAGCGTAAACCTTGTGACGGGAGACATCGCGTATCCCGCGGGATGTGTCGTGGTCATGTACAACTTTCAACGAGACAAACAGACGAGGTATTACCGCGTCGAGAAACCAGTGTCCTCGATTGCGTTCTCCGTCGACGGCACCCTGCTTGCTATTGCCGAGAAAGGACAGGCGCCGTCTATTACGGTCTGGGACGTCGAGACAGGTCAACTCAAAGCAGAGTTCAAGCGACACAAGTACGGCGTCATAGCTATGGCGTTTTCGGCCGACTCGCGTTTCCTCGTGTCCATCGGCCTGGTCCACGACAAAATGTTGTACGCTTGGGATCTGTCCACGAATGCCGTCGTGGGTGGCGCAATCATTGAAGACAAAATACATGCCGTCGATTTCAATGTCGATGGCAAGTTCTTCGTCACCGTCGGCCATCGTCATGTCCACGTATGTCCCTGCAACATACCTAACAGTCCTCATCTCCATCTCCCCAGTTTTGGCCCCTAGACAGAGACAACATGTTTCGCGTGACTGGAAGTGTCGTCGCCGATCCGCCCCTTGTCGAACTAGCGTCCGTTCGAGCGACCATGTCTCGCCTCGCCGACGCCACGTTTGTCGATGTCGGGTGTGGGACCAAGGACAAGACGGTCGCGCTCACAGCAGATGGGTTTCTCTGCTGTTTTGGGGGAACCGTCATGGAGCGCCTCGTATCTTTGGAAGCATCTCGTGGATTTGCCCTGTCTGTTGCCGGCGGTATCGTTGCGGTCGCGGGGGCAGCGTCCACGATTCGCATATTCGACCCAATCACGCTCGAGTACAAGCAGACGCTGCCGTTTCCTCCATCGTACGGCCACATGAACGACCCAAACCAGTTCTTGTCGACGTTCTTGACACCGCCACACCCAAACGAGTACGCGGCGGCGGTGGCCGTGCGCGTCGTGGGCACGACCCACATCGCCGCAGTTTACGCCGACCACACGTTGGTCGTGTTCGAACGACCGACCGGGAAAGTTCTTCGAACGTTCTTCTTCCACCATGGCCCGGTCACCGACGTGCAAGTGGTCGGCCAAGTCGTCGGGTTGGACGCGCGCAACCGCTTGCAGGTGTCGAGAACGTCGGCGGCGCCGGAAGGCACGTTCGTCACGTGCTCAGAGGACAAGACCGCCCGATTTTGGAACCTCGATCGCCATCGAAAGCAGCCCACCCCAACGGCGTGGTTCAATCCATATTGCCCAGAGCTCCTGCACGCTGTGTATGCATCGGCGGCGTCCATCCATGATGAGGGCACCAAAGAGATGGCCATGCCTCTTCAGCCCGTCGTGCCCGACCAACACAACCCCAAAGACACAACCGAGGCCCCGGACGGCCTGAAATGCCTTGCTGTATCCGACCACACCGTTGCGGTTGGTGCAAACGACGGCTCGATCCACGTCATCAAGCTCGAGTGGCCGTCCATGCCGCAGCACATGTTGCACAGAGCCCATGCCAGTGCCGTCCAATCCGTGGCGTACTCCCCTGCCGGCGACTTGCTTGCGTCTGGAGGGCGCGATCGGCTCACGCATGTGCACGACGGAGCGCAAATACGCACCAAGACGCTGGAGAATCACTCCGGCGCGGTCGTGGCGGTCGAGTTCACCGCGGACGGGAAGCGCTTGATATCCGCCGGAGCGGACCACAACCTTGTCTTCACGCAGGTACGAAACCTTGATATAAAGTCGGTGTATCAAGTCGAGAGTCATAAAGCGAGTGACTGGCGTAGGTAAGCGACCATCGCATCTTTCGGTACAACTCGTTTCCCGTCCAAGGAGGTAAAATTCACGCCATGGCAGTGGTCGAGAACGACTACATTCTTACATGCGTCAACACCTGGGTGGACGTGCACACTCTGATCAGCAACAAGCATGTGCAGACCCATCACGTTGGCGAGCATCATCGCGTGGCCCTGAGTCCCGGCGCCGCCCTCGTGGCGCTAGGTGGCTCGACGCACGACAAGACAATCCAGATCGTCGACTTTCACTCGGGTGAAGTCCTTGCCAAGGCAGCAGGTCACGGCGATGCTGTCACCGGGCTCAAGTTTACTCTGGATGGACGGCGCCTGTTGAGTTCGAGCAACGACGGGTGTATCTTTGTGTGGCGGCTCTCGGACGATCTGCAAAGCGCGTTGAAGGCCAAGTTGCGACCCGTCGTTCCATCGATAGCGTTGATGGAGTCGCCGCCCGCGCCACCAGTCGCGCCAAAAGGTCCGGAGATCGGAGCGCCTCGTGATGGTGTACCCGAGAAACCCAATGCGCATTCGACTGCGGCAGGTCTGTCACCGCCGCCTCCTCCTCCACTCATGCCACCACCCCCTCCAACGTCCAAACTGCCCGTCCCAAACAAGTCACAGCCTCCGATCAAACTGCCCGTAGCCAAAGCGGCAGTTGAGGACGAACTCAACGAATGGCTCGCAGCTCGAAATCTCCAGAGCAAAAACGTGTTATCCGCCAAGGTTGAAGAAGTGCTGGCCCCGGTTGAGGCGCCGCCGCCAGACGAAGGTCAAGTGCCTGCTCCGTTAAACAAGGAGCTTGTGCCGAACTGGGCCCGGACGTTTCGACAACTGGAAGGATTGCCCAACGACGAGCCCAACACTGTGTCGATGGCTGACGGCGCAGGACCCAGCGCAGCCGGTGGAAAGTGGGCTGCTCATGCGACCCCCGACCCATTGAGCGCAATGAAGGTCGAACACTCTGAGCTAACATCGCACACGACGCCAGTGGCACTCAGCAAAGCAGCAGACTTAGTGCCAAATTGGGCACGGACTATTCGACAACCAAAATCTCCCAAGCCGACAACCTCAAAGGACGAACCGCCCTTTGGTTTGGGCAAATGGGGAGCGCATGGCATCGTCGACAGCATTGCTCTCTGTGGCGACGGTAGCGAGGACGATGACGACGATGCTGACGCGTTGGAAATGAGCGAGACATTGTATATCAAACAGTCGAACGGCGAACTACATCAAGTCGAAGTCCCACTCAAGCCCGCGGCGCTCGTGCCCTCATCGTCTTGGTCCCTCGCCCATGAGCGCGAACTCCTCAACAAGAAGAAAAAGCAGCAGGAAACCGCCAACGCTGTCGCCGACATGCAAGCGAAGCTCGGCCTGCTCGGCATTTTGAAGCCCAAGTCCAAACCCGCTGCAACAACCATACTTGACACAAAAGTAGACGGAAACAAACTTCCTCCTGCCCAGCTTGAACTGGCCAAGTCGCCGGTCCATGCGTCCATCGTTGCGGGATACGCCGCCGAATTAGCGCATGAAGGTCGCCAATGCAGCGACGTTGGAAAGACCAACCCGTTCAAGGGCGGTGATACGGCACCCATCGCCTCCAATGCCAATCAACCACCAGCGTCAGTGCCCCAAAGCGTTGACCTATCAACACAGTCGCATCGCCATATTGCCGCTAAAATGGATGGCTCCCAACCAAGAGATGCGCCAAATCAAAGCGTTGACCTCACCCCCGTCGACGTATCTCTGAGCTCCTTTGTGCAGGGGCACACAGAAGCGACGCCGTTCGCGCCATCATGCGGCGCAAACACCGATCGTGGCCGCGTCAACCAGTCCATGGGCCACAGCATTGACGTGTCTGCTTCGTTGAGCCATTTCCTCTCCGGGTATGAGAAGCCACCACCTGTACCTAGCTCAACGAGTCATGGTACATCGTCGCCTGGAGCGGCGGCGACGGATGGATGCTCCCTCCAAATGAGTGTGGACTTGACACCCGTGGATGCTTCGTTGAGCCAGTTTACAGCGGGATACGACCCACCAACGTCTCTGCCGCCACCACGGTCCACCGGATCGACCATCGTCCAGCGCAGCGTGGAGTTTCCTCCAACTCCCGTCAACATGTCGCTGAGCCACTTCGTCGCAGGTTTTCACGCACCGTGTGCCACGCCTCCCACGACCGATGCAAACCCCAGTCCTTCGCCCACTCCAAGCACTCAAGCAAGCGCCGACTTCACGCCCGTGAAAATGTCTCTCAGCCACTACGTCTCGGGGTTCCACGAAAATTCGGACCATGCACCTGGCACGCAGCCGTCTTTAGCCCCCACGCCACAACAGAGCATTGATTTGGCCGCGGTGCAAATGTCGCTGAGCCATTTCGTATCGGGGTTTGACAACTCAACTCCAGACCGACTCACTGCGAGCCCGTCGGTGGTTCCAACCACATCTCATAGCGCGGACTTGACGCAGGTGAACATGTCCCTGGGCCACTTCGTTTCAGGCTTCGCTCGTCCACCGCATGAGCTGAGCGCAATTCTACCCCCCACCGTCAAGCTCATGGACTTGCCACGTGAGAGCAGCCTTGCAACTGTTGGGGCGAGTTCGATGGCAAACAGCATTGACTTGACGACACCAGTAGATGCATCGCTCGGCCAGTTTGTCGGAGGATACGCCCATGATAACTGTGCCGCTACTCCGACAGAAGCCGCGCCGCACGATCACGTGCGAACATCGACAGAGACCACGAGCGAGCCCAGCGTCACATCCAGTCGAAGCGATGACGACAGCGACGATGCCCTGACAAAGAGGTCATTCAGTCAATACATTTCTGGCTACCAAACGAGCGTCGACCTCGTCCCCGGCGACATCTCCATGAGTCACCCCTTCGAGTCGGGGTGCACGGCATTAGTGACCACGGACGCCTTGCCGCCGCCCATCCAAGAAGACCTGTCGGCGTCGAACGATGCCGCCACGCGCGGGAAAGACCATGGCCAACCCGACGATGCTGCCTCTCAAGCTACCGAAGGATTGCATCGGCTCAACCTGGCCGACGATCTAGCTGCTGAAAATTTCCATGGAGACGCCACATCCTCCGTCGATTCTGCAAACGTTCCAGCCAAACTCAAAGCCATCGTGCGGTCCTTACGGTTCGTGTGTGCGTGGCTGGCTCGCCTGGATTTCATGTGACGTGTGTAGGCACTTGGAAGTGAACTTGGAAACGACGGTGCGGCAACTCGATGGAATTCGTCCGACCGACGACGCAGACGGTACAGTTCGTTCTCTCGTCCATCCCGTGGGCAGAGTTTTATGAGAGGATGCGTGTAGTCGATGCAATTGTCGCGTTAGCCGCCACGCTGCAAGCCAAGATCGCCGAGTATGCCGAGAAAGCGCACCACACGACACGGTAGCGTTTTCAAACGACCACACTGTTGTCGTCGACACGAGCTACCGTAACACTGGACGAATCGTTTCCTGCGTGCATTAATACACTCCGTTGCCGAGAATGGCGACCGCGCTGTGGGAAAAGATGCCGCCGTTGCCGTACACGAGTGCGCGTCGGACGTTCGAGATTTGGCGCGATCCGGCCGTGTTTGTGATTTGGTGGAAGGCTTCGATGACGTTGTACATAGCCGGCACCTCCCACGGCGCGCCAAATGCCAAGAGTCCACCGTGCGTGTTGATCGGGAGGATATCCTGCACGCGCTTGTGTTTCCGCTGCTTGAGCTCAAAATACTTTTCGAGCATGTACCGGCCACCGAGTCCTTGCGGCGCGAGGCCCACCGCTTCGACGGCGCGGATCAAGCAGACGGGGTAGCAGTCGTAGAGGCCGAAGAAGTCGATGTCGCGCACCGAGATATTGGCCTCTTCGTACGCTTGTAGGGTCGCTAGAAGTCGGAGGGACGAGATTAGGACAGTGTCGACTGAGACGGCCGCATGTACCTTGTTCGCATGAAAACATGTTTTCGTCAATGTCGTCCAATGCAGGCGGATACAGCGGGCCGGACGCTTCGCCGCCACCGATGATGACGGCGCCGGTTCCGGCCGCGATCCCCTTCCGCTCCATGAAACGAGTCGACGCCACGAGAAGCGCGGCCCCGCCGTCGGCGCGCCGAGCACACTCAAGCAAGTTGGTCACCGAAGCCACGGGAGGCGAGTCCAGCACCTCTTCAATAGTTCGAGGAGCTTTGGTCAAAGCCAAGGGATGCTGCGCCGCCATGATCGACATGACAGCCGAGCACGCCGCCAGTTCTTCGCGTGTGACGCCGTATTTTTTCATTTGATAGTTGGCCACGCGATCTGTTCGTGGCAAGCGACATGAGTGGGTCGGGTGTGTAGTAGACTAACCGTAGCCTGATGGAATGACTGGAGAGGAGAGGCCCGAGTTGGGATGCCAGCAAGTTTGATCGGCACGGCGAAGGAATTCTTCGCCCGAGAGCTGGCGGACGGCGTCCCCGGCCACCACAGCCACACAATCTACTCCTTCCAGTTCCTACCGCAACACGCTCCTCACGATTGCAGGTGAAGACGAGTCAGTTTACGAACCACCATACGCTTGGCAGCGAGGAGGGCAGTAATGGGACCAGCGCCTCCTGTGTCTACAGTTCGCACGACAACGTTCTTGGCAGGAAGCATGCCGATGTGCGATGCCACGTAATGCGCTTCCATGAAATGGGGGTCGGCGAGCGACGGGACAGCGATGAGGCCGCCGATATCTTTGAGTTGGACACCAATGGCAGATGTAGCGGACAAGAGCGCTTCTTCCATGAGTTCAACGGGCGACTTGACCGTCTTCTCAAGCGTCGTCCATCCCGTCGAGATCACGCGGACGACTTTCGACGAACGGGTTGGCATGCCCAAGTTGAGGTAAAACTGCCAGTCTCGGCGGAGATTTGTTCAACCCGTTAGCCAATCAAATTGCGTCATCAAGATGTCGTGATTTGATTCGCTAAAAAATAGAACGATTCACCAATCAGTAGTAGGATATGTTGAATTTCAACCAATCAAAGAGATGATTACAAGTAACATGGGGTGATGTCTATCAACGACTGGCCAATGACAATTCCATACATATCCCAAATCCAAACATTCACTCTGTGTAACGGCTCCAGCCTCCGATGTGCACGCCGAGGCGCAGGAATCGAACTCCCCACGACGGGAGGGTCTGGTTGTCCAGGAGGTGCTTCCTATGGGAAGGCGTTGCGGGTGGCGTTGGCAAAGGTCGATCACGTCAAGGTCGCTTGCTTGTTGTCGACGGGACGTCCAACGGAGTCCAAGTAGTTTGATTGCATGACGTGCAGTGGATATTCCAATGAAGTACATCTCGCAGCACAAACCCGTCCATTCCTTCGCCGCTTTACAATTTCATACGCACGACTCCATTGTCACAACAGAATGCCGCATTTCAGTTCGAGTTGGGGTCTTCCTCCTTGCAGCGGTGACAATCCCCACACCCTAATGCTATATGCCGCAAGCCTGCACGAGTCGTCATCGTTTGCGTGGCCACCTGGCCGGCAGACGCCCACGAACCACCTCGCAATCGTCAGATACGCCATGATGAGTACAGCAGTGTTTAACTATCTCGTTTTGACCGTGGCATTCCAACTACTTTCTTGCAGGACTACAATGCGGTCGCCGTGCAAAACAACCGAACGCGTCAAGTCATTGCGTGCTTGTGCATCACGCCGACTTCACTTACTACATCATGGACGCACGGCGGCGAGCCCTAAAGGTGCGTGTATGAAGAAAACTTGCCCCTGTTCGGCCATGCCCTTGTAGTGTTTTGTGTAAATCTTGGACGCCAATGCTTGTCATGGTCGAGCTCGGCGGCAAGGTTCCTACTCATTGCGTCGACGTTCCACCAGCGACGATTGCATTGTCGTAGGGTGGTTGGCACTGCACGCCTATTGTCACAAGTGCTGCCACACTTCCGAAACAATCCGAGTCGTTTTGTCCGCCGACAAACGCACCCGGCGCATCAAAAGGTAGTGTTCGAGGAACGAAACAAAGCCACAATGGATCTCGCTCCTCGCGCCAGTGCTACGTCCGCCGTCCAGGAACAACCCCGTGATGGCGCACAAGATTCGTGCCCATACGAGTTTGAAACGCACGATGGCCCGGCGCCCCTCGTCCAAACAAGTCGAATGATCGAAGAACAACACAGCCATGACTGCCTCCTTCGAGTGTCGCTTTTTCCACACGTTCTTTGACGAGCGCAGCGCTTCACCCGTGCGCAAAGCAATTTCGATTCGCCACGTGCTCGTTGTGATTCCCAATGCCACGCGCTATTGCAGTGTGTGGCCGAGCGGTTCCATCACTGAGTCGCCAACTCGAACGAAAAGCAGCCACGGCAAGTGGCCCACGATAGCCACTACTTAAGGCCAGCCTGGCCGCATCCTGTCGGGTCGTTCGAAATGTGGATGCCAGTCGAGGAGTTTGCCGCAGTGTTTGCGAGATAATAGCTTTGGCGTCCTCGTCCACATCGTGACCAAGTAGGACCATGCCATTCCTGCCCACAATGGCAAGACCTTGTTCGAAGTATGTAGGCTATCGTGCAGGCCGAGCGAACACATGCAGTTCATGCCGTGTGGATGGGCACCGCGAATCCAGAGCAGTTGTTGTTCTCGACCGAATTGGAGTCCGATCGATGCGGTGCCACACCCCCACTGGCAACTAGGTTACTCCAAGAAGCATTCGAACGCTCGAGACTCGAACTGTGCGTCGACAGTGCTTGGGCGACCGTCTTCACCAAGCCCTCTGCATTGCCAAGACCACTTACGACCATTGTGCAGACAATTGCATGGCAAACTCGCCAGGCACTCGTCCGTTTACGACGTCAGGGTCAGTGAGGTACCATGCCGCATATCGATTCATCGTTTGGTTTCGTCGTGGCTACCAGGGTGGCGGCCAATTTGGTCAAGCCACATCTTTTTAAAGGTCCCACCGTGTCCCGAGACGATTCCGATGGAAGGGGTGGAGGTTTCGTCGTCCTTCAAGCGAAGTTCAAACAGTCGGGTCCTTGCTGCCGCGGCGGGGACATGTCGATCCAAGTCAAGCGCGTCGTTGGCTCTTTCGAGGCCATCGTACAGCGCCTGGCGGGCATTCCACGAGTCGCCACCCCGTCCAACGCACGTTCTTCTGTCGCAGCCGTGGAATAGATGGCTCAAGGTGGAGCGCATTTCTGTTCCGCGGGGGTCCGGTCTTGGTTTGAACGACTTCAACAAGTGTACTAGATTGCCTTGACGTGCCACGGATGTTCTCCTCGCTTGGTGCAAAAAGCCATGCCACAGGTCCAACAACCACGGAACGCCGTCGTCCGGTTGGCCCGACAACACGTCAGCTTCGATCGGCGCTGCGGTTCGAGAGATGGTGTCGTCGGGCGAAGTATCCTCGCCGTCCAAGTATTCCTTGATCGCATGGTAAGAATTCTCCTCAAAGACCGGTCCAAACCAACCGCCGCTTTGACAATGAGCGTCTATACATCACGGCAGGTTCGGCGATTGGACATACGTCGAAGATGTCCTGCACTCTATGCGTTTCCTTGGCTGGGATTCACGAGTAGGGCTCGGACGCGTCCCGTTGCCAGTCGTCCACTCCACCAAAGACGAACGGATCCTCTTCGGACTCGCTCATCGTCGGGTTATCCGAACGTGGGTGTGGCACCGTCGCCCTCCGTCTTTGGCGTCCAGTTCGAACGCTCCTAAATGTACGACCACGTTTCGGTTTTTTGGTGGAATGAATCAGAATATCACTTGCTTGTTGTATGATAAAATGCGTGAAATCAGGACGAATCTATCCTAATTAGGCACTGTTTCGATCCATAAGTGTCTCCAACTCTGTTGGAAACTTAATCGCTCGCCGCAGCGACGCGATCGAGGTCGGGCGAAGGAAGACGAAACAAGGCGGCGTCGCGCCAGTGCGCTGCTTGTGGTGTTTTACAGAGGGTATG